CTTGAATATCTCCAGAGAAGGAGACTCCACAACCTCCCTGGGCAGCCTGTTCCAGGGCTCCGTCACCCTCAGAGGGAAGAAGTTCTTCCTCATGTTCAGACGGAACTTCCTGATGGGAGACCTCCCATCCCGGAGGCTTTCTGATTCACCTCTGACATTCAACCAAAGCCTAGATCGCCCCAGTCTGCCCAGCTTCCCCCCAGGCTGGAGGCAGTGCCTGGCAGGAGAGGATCCCTCAGCCATCCCCAAACCTGCGAGCGAACCTTGCGGCTCTCGAGGAATCGAGTTGGCGCAGCCGGAGCGGAGCTGGGAGGCTCTCGTGGGCGGGAGCCCCAAGCGTGCTCCTGGGGGTGTGCCGGCAGCTCGGGCGGCCGGGGATGTTGGCAGCAGTTCTGGGGAACCCCATCCCACTCTGCCTCACCCCAGCCTTGTCTCTGGAAAGCACCTTGCCTGGTTGGGTTTTTTTGTGTGTGGGTCGGTGCTGCCTTGTCCGTTCTTGCCAGCTTTTCCGCTTCCTTGGTATCGCGAAATCCCCCAATGCTTCCAATTCAGCTGCCAACTGCTGTCATTCATGTCTGACAACGTCTTTACGGGGCTGATGCCTCCTACTTCCGTGCTCAGATGCAGAACTACACCATATTTTAATGAAATATTTAAGATTTTGTCACATTGTTTTCAAATCTACATGGTTAAATGTAGTGGAACAGATCATTCCGTAGCCTTGGAAGTCCAAACACTCCCAACAGAGGAGCCTGTTAGTGGCATCACCGTCGGGAGGAGTCGTTATTTGTGGAGTCTCAGGGAAAAAATATCGATCAGGAACGCGGCTAACCCGTCGCAAAGCTGAAGGACCCCCTCTTCTCCAGGTCTCCCTCTCCTACCGTTGCCCAAATTGTCCGGGGAAGGAGCCGCCGCTCTCTCTCCTGGGACCGTCTGCCCAGCGGGGTGGCTGGTGGAAGCTGATGGGATGGGATTTGGGAGACGCGGAGGCGAGCGGAGGATGTCGGGGCAGCAGCTTGGCAGGGGAACCCCAGCCAGGCAGGCTCTGGGAAGCCAGGAAGCTTTTGGGAAGCCACAGGAGGGCTGTTTGCTACCCGGTACATCTTTAATGGCAGGGCTGCTTCATTGATGATCTATCTAACTAAGCCGGGGCATTAATTAAATAAAGAGCGAGCCTGATTAGGACTTGGAAAAATTTAAAAATAAAATCAGACAGCAATCGAGCGAAATTGCAAAGCAAACGCTTTGGTTGGAACCACTGGAGAGTTCCCTCCGGTCTTCCATCAAAGCTGGGAGCAGGGAGGGCAAATGCAAGAGATTATACAGCCAGCAGATGCATGGCGTTAAAATACGCATCTGCCGGCCGCGGAGGTTCGGGAGCCGGAGGGCTACCTCGTGGCTCCTTCCGCACTCGGGGGACTGTGGAGGAATTCCAAGCCCCACCAGCCAAGCTGGGCTTTGTAGGCGCGTTAATTAGCGTGGAGTTCCCAGATCTTGAAGGCAACCAAGCGAGCAGAAACTTTGAAGTTTTTCCCCCATGGCCGGGGTTAGGCAGGACCCGCGGCGCCGGGAGAGCGGTGAAGCGAGGCAGACGGACGGCGAGGCGTTGCGGAAGCGGGACGGTAGCGTGGGCGCTCTCTTTCGCTGGGGTCTTGGCAGGAGCATCCCAAGCCTGCCCTGGGCTGCAGTCCTCCAGCCCTGCCTCTGCAGCTCGGCGTGGGGAAAGGGTTGGTCCCAGAGAGATGCTGGTGGGAACTTGGTAGAACTGGATGATCTCTAAGGGCCCTTCCAACCCAACGATTCTGTGAGACCCAGGATGAGGAGGCTGTAGGGGTGTGAGGAGGGAGGTGGAGGAGCTGCTGCCAGACACTTCAGGTGGATAATTGATAGGCAATTAGCTTGTACCTTCACCTTTTGTAGTCGAATTCCCTGCCTTCTCCCCCTCCCTGGCCCTTTCTAATATTAACTCTGCCTTCACGCGTGTCCCGTTAGAAATAAAGCTTTCTTAAATCAACGTGAATTATTTAATGCTGCAGATTAAGTTAATTTGAAGTGAGAGCTCCTGTCTTTTAAGACGGCACGAGCCAGGGACAGGAGAAGAGGAGGGTCACCAAGGTGTCAAGTGCATTCCCATTCAGTCACAACCCTTTTCCTCTTTTTATTTGATTTTTTGTTTTATTCCGATCCTCTTTCTAGCCGAGTCTTTCCACTCCTACCCCGCAGAGCAGAGTAAGCTATCTGCATTACCAAAATGATCGCTGGCAGCTTGAGACATCGGCGTTTCCCAGCTTTCCAGCTCTTCAGTGGAGTTTGATCAGAAAATAAAGAGGCTGTGGCCTGGGAAAGGCCATTTTTCAGTATTTGTAATGCTGAGTCGCAGTGAGAAAAAGCAGACTAGGTGATGTTTCAAACCCAGAAACCAGTTCAGCTTGGAACCATCTCAAGTATTTTTCCGCACTTTTTAACGAAAATCAATTTTCTGAATGCAAAATTCAGCAAGTAGAGTCAGGATGTCAAACCAGAACAAAAAAAGAAGCGATGAAAATGTGATCATTCTCTTCCAGTCTCTTCTCCTTCAGAAAGTTTGGGTCTTTACGAAGCTGCACTTTCTGCTGGGAATATTTTTGGTGGCAAAATAGCAACCGGGTCTACTGAGAATGAAACAGCAACATCAAACAATCGAGCACAAATCCCAGATAACCTAAATATTTGATGCCATGTCGGAGCGGCTTAAGTCTGCAGTGCTCTGAGCCGGCTCCTTTCGATGGCAGAGGGTGGACGGGTTTCCTTGCTAGCGTCCCTGCTAGGAAGGCATCTCCACGGGCTTGAGTCCAGCGGAGGGCTACGAGGATGGTGAGGGGACTGGAGCATCTCCCCTACGAGGAGAGGCTGAGGGAACTGGGCTTGTTCAGCCTGAAGAAGACAAGGCTGCGAGGGGACCTTATAAATGCCTACAAATATCTGAAGGGTAAGTGTCAGG